GGGTGTTACTCGCGTACTAGGAAGATTTCCCATCATGGGAACCAAATTGGACGGTTTCGCCCTGAAACACGCGACGCATTCCCGGGCAACCTTTCTGGCCAAGTTTCGTCCGTTCACAGGCCAGTACTCTAAACGAATGTGTGACAGCAGGAGCTGCGGTCCCGCGTGCAATAATCTTTCATGTTCGAACAAAAACAATAGCTTGGTGAATTTATCTTTACAGTCCAAGACCATGGGGTGCTTTCGCGCGTTGGATAAATCGGAATGCACCAATCTACCCCCGACTCTTAATATACCGTTTTGGTCAACGTGAGGGTTAAGTTTTAACAATTTGCTATTTTTCTCCAGCGGCCTCCCACTAGTGAGCAACGATATCTCTTTAGGAAAGTGCAAAGCCTGACTAAATCTTACTAACCCCAAGTTTGCCTCTGCTAACTCGCTAGCTAACAAAGGCCCTAAATTACGTTCCGCTCTGATGCGAAGACTATTTGTTTTGAAACGAATACAATACGCGACGATTCTCCTAATTTTGGACAAATCTGAATATTTTTTGAAAATCTCGCTCAAAACATCGATTTCTTCCGCGCATGCGCAGGCTACAATAGTTCGCCTGATCTCAGGCAGCGACGCTACGATACCCGGACCCTCCGGCCAACAAGACTTCGACGAACGCAACCAACGAGGTCCGTTCCAATATAGTTCGTGATCTTTCAACATCTCGGGTGAAACTCCGCGCGAGACGCAGTCAGCTGGGTTATCACCGGACGGTACATGTCGCCACTCCTCGACGCTCGAAATCTCCAAAATGGCCGACACGCGGTTTGCCACGAAGGTCTGCAAAATGTTAATCGGCGCCTTCAACCAACCCAGTACTATGGTTGAATCGGTCCAACAGAAAACGCCGACTATATCAAGATTCAATATCGCCCTTACTCGACCCATTAGTTTGCACATCAGGGCCGCCGCGAGTAATTCCAACCGAGGAATGGTCTGTACCTTTACCGGCGACACTCTGGACTTGGCGCATATCAAAGAAGAAAATGTCTCGCCGCTCGAATCTCGCGAAACCAAATATATACACGCCCCGTATGCCGACATTGAAGCGTCCGAAAACCCGTGGATCTCCAACGCCACCCAACCCGAACAAATAAACCTGCGAGGTACGACCACCTCATTCAAGTGTCTCAGCCCGCTCCGAAACTTCAACCATTGGGTGTGCAAGTCTGTCGGCAGTGATTCGTCCCATCCTATTTTTTCAAGCCAAATGTTACGCATAAGTATTTTTGCTACAATTATCGTCGGACACAGAAATCCCAAAGGGTCAAATATTTGTGATGTTTCCGACAAAATGGATCGCTTCGTAACCCTAGTTGCTTCTCCGATACAAATTTTGTAAGAAAACTGGTCAGCCGCAGCATTCCAGATAACTCCAAGTGTTTTCGCGTTTTCATTCGCGCCCAGATTCACGACACGATTCCCATCGGTGGACTTGATCCGCTGCAATATTTCGGTACTATTAGACACGAATTTTCTTAAATAAAAACCGCTCGACTCGAGAGTCGCTACCACTTCATCTATGAGTTCGACTGTTTCCTCTACCGTCGCGCCGCCGGTGAGCATATCATCTACATAAAAATGATTTTTAATCACTTCCGATACCGCTTCGTTTTCGCTCTTAAGTCCCAGCTCGTATAGACACCGAATTGCTAAGAAGGGAGCCGACGACGTCCCATACGTAACCGTAGTTAACTCGTACGTATCAATCGGGCTGTTTGAATTATCTCTCCACAAAATTCTCTGCAAAGGCCACTGCGATGGGTCCACTTTGCACATTCTGTACATTTTTTCGACATCTCCCGCAACCACATAGGCATGCTTCCGAAACAGCAGCAAAATCGAAAAGAGGTCGTTTTGAATCGTTGGCCCGACTAATTGAATATCGTTAAAAGAGTAGCCGCTCGTAGTCGAGCACGAAGCATCGAACACCACTCGTAATTTTGTTGACGTGCTCGATTCACGAATAACGCCGTGATGAGGCATGCAATACGCATGTTCCGCAATCTCGGGACGAGTAACCTTAACCATGTGTCCCATCTCGCGATACTCCCGAATAAATTTGTGATAACTCTCGCTCAATGTTGGATTTTTTGACAGCTTCCTTTCCAGATTTAAAAATCGTTTTAAAGCTATTTCGCGCGAATCCCCCAACAATTGGACGCTGTCTCTCAAAGGAATCGTGACAACGAACCTTCCGTCCGCATCGCGCCTAGTAGTATTAATGAAATGTGATTCCGCCAATTCTTCCTCCCGCGAGAAAGACTTCGTCGCGCTGGGAACCTCCTCTATGGTCCAAAACCGCTCCAACTGTCTGTCCAAATCGCCGTGTCTCGACAAGTGACAATAAAACTCCCGGTCAGTACCCAAAGATGGGAAGTGGCCAGCGACTATCCACCCAAATCTTGTTTTCTGAAGAATCGGTCCGCTGGGTCCGATCCGAATCTGCCCGACGCAGGTAATTTGCCAAAAATAGTCGGCCCCGATCAACATATCAATTTTTCCAGGAACGCCGAAATCAGGATCCGCCAGTCTAATATTTTCCGGAATGTTAAAGGTCGCAGTATCTAATTGAACGCTAGGCAAATCCCCAGTAATCTTGGGAATCACTAAACAATCCGTGTTCAATGAAAATCCGCTCAAACGAGATTGAACGGTCAAGCTCGCGCGACGCGTAATCTGAGAACGCACCTGACTTATACCGCTCACCGTTATGTTGATCCCAACCGTTTCTAATTCTAAAAGTTCGCATAATTCCGACGTGATGAAGCTACTCTGCGAACCCGTATCCAGCAAAGCTCGCGCGTTGCGATTTCTACCATTTTTATCGCACACTCTTACCGAAACGGTCGAAAGAAGCGCATGACCGAATTTCGACGAACTAGACGAAAGAGTAGTAACAGTTTCGACGTTTCCTGCAGTCATTCCGACCGCTGCATTTTCGGCAGCTTGAGTTTTTTCAATATGTAACAATGTGTGATGACGCGACCTACAAGTTCTACATGACCTAGACCTACACTGTCGCATAAGATGTCCAGTTTTCAAACAATTTATGCACAGCCCCCTTTGCTTTACTTGCGCTAGTCGTTCCCTAATGCTCAACCTCAAGAATTCCGAACAATCGTTTATGCTGTGCGAATTTTTGCAATAAGCACACGTCGCGCCCGAATCACCGCCCGTAGCAAAGAGCGATCTAACTTTATTTGTGTTTTCGTGTTTGTTGCGCGACTCCGAGTTTTTCGAATTTGGTTTTAAATTTACCGCAGCGCTCGCGGTTCTATTTCGTTCTATTGATACCAACAACTTTGATCGCCGATCCAAAAATTCCGAAAATTCGGCGAGTGTTGGTCGAGTATACCTTAATTTTACCTCCTGCCACCTGACGCATGTTTCATCGTCCAGCTTCGAAAGCATTAAAAATACGACAAACGTATCCCAATGCTCTGTGGGTTCCCCTATCGTTTTCAACGCCTTTAATCTATTCGTTACGCTGTCTAAAATACGCCGAATACCCACCGCGGTAGCAGACTCCAATTTTTCCATCGCGAATAATTTTTCCAAATGATGCTGTGTGAGATCTGTCGCATTGTTGTACCGCTTGCAAATAGCCTCCCACGCGAACCTGTAATTCTCGCTCGTATAATCTAGGCTACCGATGGTTTCGTACACGCTTCGTGCGATGTACGACCTAAGATAATGAAACTTTTCGATATCGCTCAACGACGCGCGATTGTTTATTAGCGCCTCAAAAGTGTCGCGAAACTCAGGCCAAGTCTCCAGATCGCCGTCGAATACGTTTAAGTTCATTTCTGGTAACTTTACTTCGCTAAAAACCCGATTTGGTAACGTTTCGCTAACTCTAGGAATTTGGGAAGCGTCCGGCAACGTCGCCGTCGCTCCCAATCTAACCACCGGCCGAGTAGTCCCACCGCTTTTCACCGACCCCGAACCGCTGCCGCTACGTGTCGAAGCGCTCTCTTCCGTCTCCGAAAGGAACTGCTTGCCTTTTCCTAGCAATGCAAAGAACTCCCTCTCGAACAACTCCCGACCGGCCGCTTCTGCATCGATATCGACAAACTCTAATTCATCGATTTCGGCCTGAAGTCCGTTGAAATCGTCGAGTACCTGGGCAAATCTCTCCATTCTCTGCTCTAGTTCATAATATATGGCAGAATCTCCGATTATCTTATTGGGGTAGGCTTTATCTAAGTTTTCAATAAACTTTGCAAAAATAGTTAACTTTGACTTATTAGCGGCCCGTTTCCGCTTCAATTTATCGAACATTTGTTTGTCTTCCTCGGACATTTTTACAATCTAAACTGTGAAATATGAAAAGCGAAGTCTATGAAACAAGTCAAAACACGAATCGCCAACCGGTACCCGTAAACGAATTCTAATTAAACTATGAAATTACCAGTTCTATAAGCCAATCGCGCAAATCAAAGCTAAATATGCAAGTATAAGGAAAGGTAATACTGGAAAAGGACTTACAATCGCCGTGTAGAACCGTCGAATCCAATTTTCCAGTCCGAAAGTACGAAACTCCTCAACTTGGCTTGGCAAAAATGGCGTCGATGCCGTCGAATTTTCCTGTTGCTACGATGATCCAAATATCATCCGACTCTCGAAGGACCACAATGATTAATTCACAATATTAGACAACTATTGTGACCACCTTTTTTGAACACATTTATTTATAATATAAATTCGAATACAACAAAACAATTAACAAATGAAAACCATGCCGGTCAATTCGCTCGGCGTGTTGATCTCGAGATTTTTTTTTTCGATCAAGTCTGTCTCGATTAGTACTTCGCGGGGTGGCGCTGGGATAAATTCGCGCAGTTGCCGCTTCGTCCAGTAAATCCCAACAGTTTGAATGCAAGAAGAGAAGATGGAATTATCCATAAACCCGGTCTATTGTTCGAGTTACGGCTCCTGCTCCTGCGAATTTGATTTAAAAGGTGGGAATGCGCCGCGAAATAAATATTCCAGTTAATTCGCCGGAATTATTTAATTATCCGTAAGGCGAATCTAGTATAGAAAATATATCCAATAAGCCGTTCTCGAGCTTACATCCCGCATAAAGGCAGCTGCATTTAGCGCCGCTTTCGCCTGCACTTTGAGCCTCTAAATACACCGGATCCAAATCCTCGTCGATTTCTCCGTCTCCGTAATCGGGACTAAAATGCAAAACGAATCTTAAAATGAACCTATTCAATTATTTAACTTACGTTAGAATGATATGAAAAACTTTCCCGTACAAACCGTTGGCTTCGTGATTCAATGGATACAAAGCGTTTTCGCATATGGTTCTCAATAAGCAAATCCTGCCGTCCATGCCTTGACTACAATAGAGGAAATTAATAATTTTCTCGTTTATGAAATTTAATTTCGTCTAACTTTTCGAGTACTTCCTCCAAAGCTCTATAGAACATCGCTCTATCGCTAGCAGGAGTGGTTTCGTCGCTCCGATCATCAGATCGCTTTTTCTTCGTGTACACTGGCGGGTAATTCGTTATTTGGGAGACATTTGTTGGTACATTGTATTGCATTTGAAGGTTCCAACCGATCGCCATCGATTGTTTGGTACCTAATTTCACCGGAGTACCGATACCGATTACGATCTGTAAAGGAATACACCAAGAAAACTTCTAATTTTCGATAGGAAACTTGTTAGAAATCTACCTTGAATGCCCCTCCTCGCGGGTAAATCACATATCTTCTCGATCTCTCGTGTTTTCCGGTAGAATACTTCAAACCACAACACGTTAACCACAAAACCACGAACTTTACGTAAAACATTTGTGATTAACAAGCATGAAAAATCGTTCAAGCATTATTAAGTAATAAACGTAAAGTGTAAATACTCAAATAGTAGGTAAGTTTGTACTTCCAATTATCATTAGATATCTTCTAATTGGTTCCATCTATTTAATTTACGGTACATAATGCTAATAGCTTTTGATGAATTTGTATCAGTCATTGTTGGGTCACTGGACAATTGCTCTAATATCTTCGGAAAACAGGTAGATTTTTGTGAACTTCAATTACCTTAACTGGCCCAATTATCATGTGAATCTAGTCTCTGTATTACGAAATAAAGTAGTGAGAAAAAAAAAACGACTTTTCGTCGAGTGGAATCGCCACATCCGATTGCTTTGTGCCACTTAGGGTAGCAGTCGAAAATACAAAGTGAATTCCGACGACATCAAAGCGGCCGGCGAGATTTCCTACAATTGCAGTGGAAGTTAAGAAACTGAAAAGAAGCGGTTGTACATTTCTGTCTTTAGAAAACAAGCAAAGTGAAAATGGTGCAAGTCGAATTGCTTTGAATTATTTTAATGAAACGACCCGGCTGTGTAGCACAGCGGAACGAACAACCAGGAAGTCGTCGGTTCTTTGTTGCTTTTTCATCAGCATTCGGAGAAGAAAAAAAACAATATCTTTCTAACGCAATAGAAGTATAGGCACATACAATTCGGTGCAACAGTCGCTGCGATGCAGTCGCGGAAACAAACGCCCGTTTTGTCTCTATCAAATTCAATTTAGCAAACACTTTATGAATATCTGATTCTTTAAAGCGCGTCCTAAACGCTCAACTTCGGAATGGGGGATTCAGCAATATGCAATATTGTATATTTCGCCATATGACGCTACCAGAATATGTTGAGCAGCGTTGCGGAACTCCAGCATATTCTTTGATTTAGAGACGGAGGAAATGAATAATTCAACAGATTTAATATTAATGCATCACGTTATTATTCCCATCTAAACCAATCTGTTTTTTTAAAGACACAATATATTGAATACGACAGAAATATTAACGCAACTAATAACAAAAACAGCGAGGAAAACTATTTAGGAGGTAATTAGGGACACGTTTTGGAAATAAAATTCGCCGGGAAATCCCAGGAAAGGAGCGCTCTGCTAGTTGTCGGGCGTTAACGCTGGTATAACCAGATACACAAATTCTATCAGCATAATTTCCCTAGGCGTGAAGATGAGAGGTCTCGATGGTGTTTAGGTTATAGTCCGGCGCGCCGGTAAATCGCCGGAGGGTCCACTAAGGGCCCGAAGGGTCAAATGTCTCTCAATTTTTCAAACTTCCCACCGGCGCAAAAAAAAATTGTATATTCCGGAAACAATTCGACGTCGCTCCGTTAACCCCACAACCGGCTATAAAGGTCTCGTTTTATTCCCGTTCGATGACGAAAAAAACGCACGATTTTATCTACCCCCGCTAGTAATCAAGACCATCCCTCACCACCCGCTCCCCTTCACGAGCTCATCAAAGCTCATTAGGCATAATACTCTCAAAACAATGCTCGCTGGACCGTAAATGACATGCTGATCTTGCCAATAGATGATGCGGAGAGGACAAGCAGGAAAGATAAAGCCTGCAGGGGTGACTTCCAAGATATCAACCCCCAGGTAATACACTATTTAATATTGTAAATGATATATTGAGGATACTTATGATCTGTAGCTATCAAGTAATTAGACTAGAAAATAATGAAGTATGTAAAATAGAAGTTACATAATGAAATGATAGTGGATATGGTGCAGTATTGGTGCAATTTGTAGTGAAAATGGGTCATTATTTGGGGAATTAAAGGAAGTTCAGCAGGAGTAAATTCGTTTGCCGATGGCCCGAAGGCCGCCTCTGTTCTGTGATATTACTCGGGGGCCCATTGTGGTGGATAGTGGAAGGTTATCTTCCGTACGAAAGGACGTCTGAACCGCCATTACTCGATTTCGGATGTCAGAAATGGCGTTGGCGTCAGAAATGGCGGAGAATCGGTAACGGGGAAGCATTGGCCCGTGGACGGCTCCTTTTGTTTGGCCGGCGTTGCTGCATTGTAGGTAATAGTTATGGGAATCCTAACGGGCCTAATAATCTTATAATATCACTGTTTGATACCCGGAAAATTCTGGTGAATTTTTAACAATCACCAATGCCCCGTTTTGTTGTTCTAATTGGAGCAAATATGACTCGCTTAGTTACCACAATTCAATTTTGTTCGGAGTAGGAACATCGAACAAAAAAAGGCTCTAAACTTCTCGTTACAAAAGACAGTTATCTTTCTAATAAGACGTTCTCGTAGCGCTAATTTATTAGATGCGATAAGTTGGAACATACGCTGGTGCACAATCCGGCGATTTATTGCTTGATAATTTTGGATGAATTCCAAACCACTTGCAGTAGGGAGTTAATTTCGACCGTAGATTTTCACCGACTCGCATAATTCGCTCGGAGTTTATGGAACAAACTGGCCTCTTTGTTTCGACAATACTGTTGTTGCAATCTAGGAGTTGTTTGTAGAAAGTACCCACTTTAACATCAACAAAATTTATTCAGTATAAAGTATCAAAATCTAGTTTTTTTTTTTATATTTAAATGTTTATGAAATTAATTTAATAGAAGCTCTAAATAATTTCGAAGCCCTAATTGTGTATGTGAATGACTTTCCAGCTTTATATTTGTGTTATTGGCAGAATGATTTTGTAACAAGTTATGCCTACATTTACTCATAATTACATATTAATAATAACATTGTGATGAGAACAAACGCAAACACTAATTACCAGATACTGTATGCTATTAGTGTGTTGTAATTATTTTTTGCGGCTAATTCGCGTTTCATAATTTATCAAAAGGTTTGTTATTGTGATAGAATAAAACAAATACCGTAGGTGCTTTTGGAAAATTATTAATTTATGTTTTATATTTTAATTCCGACTGTTTTTGAAACAGAGGTATTATTTTAATTATACGTTAATTAAAATATTAACCAACCAACTTAACGTTATTGTTGCGGATGAAAATGAGAAATATAAGCTGATAAGCTAATTAGGAAATTTCGTTAAAGGTGCGAGAATCTCTTTATTGTATAATCAACATCAGTTTCGAAATTGCTTCTTTGAAATCGATTCTATTAAATTCAGCGTTTCTTTTACCCCGTGTATTCCATTACATTTAATTAGAAAATTCTTAACGGATAATTTTCGATAGGCTTAATTAAAAAAAAAAAGGTTTCCGCGGCGCTTCGCTCATCAATAGCGAGTTTATTTACCCCTTTTTCGGGCTCTACAGCTGCTAGATCAATGGAAATTAATTCACTCGATGGCATCGAATTTTCCTTTCGCATTTTTTCGGGTTATGTACCGGGCGTAATTGAGAGGGCAAACGAAATAGAGGGAGACGCTAGTGGAGAATTTATGGACCGGCGATTTATCAGAGCGAATTGCAGATGAGACACTTTAGTGCCAGTTACCGCTACCTGGATGGGCCATGGTTTTATCCGAGAACCACTTCAATTCTTTATCTTTCTGGCGCAGATCCAGTTCGATGGATCTACAGCGGCGGGTCCTCTCCGATCCCTCGATTATTAATGTTACCGTGTGCTATAAAAAAATTACAATCCGGTGGGTGAGATTTGAAAAAGTTGAAATATTTTACAGTGCGATTACTGAGTAGAGAATAATACCTATTTATCAGTAAACTAATTTAAATTGGAAGTATATGTAGGTACAATAATTAAAAATAATTACACAGACAAAAAATGGTTCAAGCATTTCCTTCTGCTAATTGAAATAACTACTGCAAAATTTTTCTAATTAGTTACGATAGCAAACTGTTGATTGTTAATTTTCCTTCAAACAATTTTTCTAATTATTTATTATCTATCGGATAATATTTAAAGAAATTGTTATGTTCGGTATATTTGTTAACTGAAGCCCATTCGAGCGGGCGTCATGGTGTCCATTAAATTAAATTCGTTTGGTTTATTATTTTTATTCGCGAACGTTTTTAATGAAATCTCCGGTCAAGGTATGATATTCTCATATTATATGCATTAATAATAGTAGAATAAAATATTAAAAAAAAAAACTACTAATTTCGAATTAATATTTAGCTGCAGATTTAGATGATTGGATAAAGCAACTCCACTTTTCCAACGAATCTGTAAATATGCTATAAAATACACGTAAAATCAAATAATTAATTTTGCCATTTTCCAGAGAGAAATGTATTATGTGAATAAAGCATGCGAGGAAAAAAATATGAGATTAGTCGTTTTGGACACCGTGGAAAAGAACGAAGCCATCAAAAAATATCTCCTTCAACAAAGTAAATAAATCTACAATTCAATTACCTACAAATTGTTTAAATTATATTAATAAAATTTCGCTTATCAAACGGAATAAATAACGATTGTTTCTTGTTGATAGATAACGAAGAGCAATATTGGATCGGTTGCAGAAGAAAGGATCTAAATGGAGAATATTCCATTAGCAACGCCTTCCGTTGGGCTAGCGGCGGAAGATTGAACTTATACCAATACTTTGCTCCAGATAGGCCGAATAACAATGTCAAAAATCTCCTGAGTAATTTGAGATATTACTTGTCTATAAAAATGAAGGGAGACCAATTGCTGTGGTTTGACACGCCAAACAGTAGAAGTTGGTTTTACATATGCGAACCGAAAACAGTGAAAACAGAACCACGTAAATATGTATTTCTTCATTTAGGTGCATTCGTTTAAACAGAAATTCTACTATTTTAGCAATACCAGAGCCTGAAAATAAATATGGATTTACATTTACAAACTACATGGTGAGTATTCAACTGGTGTAAACGATAAATATGTCCTATCTTTCGGCGCTTTATTAATAAAAATAGATATCTACATATGATTAGTTTGCTGTATATTTTTAGACGAAATCGGTTAGAAATGTCTTGAAACAATGCAAAGCGGAGAACAATGATGAACCGTTATTTATCGACAGCAAAGAAAAACAAGATGCCTACACTAAATTAAAGAAAGAAACCGGTACTTTGCACATCATTTACCTAAAGCACTTTAATAAATTATTTACACACACCTATTCCAGACGATAGAATTGCTTACCCTCTCGCCATACAAAGAGCTGACAAGAACTCCCCCTATACTTACTATTACAACTCCAACATTACGCTGAATTTCACCAACTGGGCCAAAGGTCAACCCAGCAAAAATGCCAAAGAATTGTGCGCCGTTATTGTTTATTATCCCGCAACAAACGAGGCGAAATGGAAAAGCCGCAATTGCTATCAATACGAATTCGCAGCCTGTCAACGTACAGCAATTACTGCAGCAGCAACAACTGAAGCAGCAACTACTGAAGCAGCAACTACTGCAGCAGCAACTACTCAAGCAGCAACTACTGAGGCTACAACAGGTAAATCAGGCACATTGACTTGTATTGAGCAGACCTACATATCATATTTCGATGTTTTCTTTTAGAAGAAGACGAGTGGGTGAAGAGCCTCTATTTCTCGAGAGAAACGGTAAGGTGTTTGCCCAATTTTATTGAAAGCTAGCATAGGAAACAGGTGTACTAACTAACCAGTATTATTCAGGTTTTCCTCCGACAATTTGGACAGCAAGAATGCGAAGACAAAAAAATGAGAATGGTCGTTCTTGATACTGAGAAAAAGAACGAGGCGGTAAGGAAATATATGGAGAAGAACGGTAAATGCAAATTTAAGAAGAAACAGCAGTAATTAATTCGAAGGTTTTATTAACAGGAATCAAGATGCAATTTTGGATAGGTTGCCAGCGGATTCACAACGGTGAAATCGGCGTTAATTATGAATTTCGTTGGGAAACGGGGTCCAGATTAAATATTTACAAATATTTCGCTAAGGACAGACCGAATAATAATCAAGGCAATTCCCTGTCCCGAGCAAGGACTAATATTAACATAAGAAGGAATAAAGACGGTAAACTAGTTTGGTTTGATGAAGAAAGTTCTTCGAAAAAGGGTTATATATGCGAACCAACAACAGTAAAAACAGAACCACGTAAATTTATTTTATTTTTCTCAATTGTAGCATATTTTTATTAATACTCTTTCAGCAATACCTGAACCAGAAAATAGATACAACTTCACATTCACCAATTATCAGGTAAGAAGGAAACTAATTTTATTGTATACTGTATCTAATTGTACTCCGTACATCTTTAGACTAAAGATATGGTAAACGTCTACAGCTCGTGCGAGAAACAAAATAAACAAGTACTTAACATCGATAGTAAAGAGAAAGCAGAAGCTTTCAAAAATTTTAAGAAGGCAAACGGTAAAACATCAATATATTCTATTAGTATATTCCTTAAGGAATTTCTTTCCAGACGATAGCCTCAGATATCCAATTGCTATAAGCAGAGTCGACGAGAATTCCGAGTACACCTATTACAACACTAACAAAAAAATTGATTATTCGAACTGGGACAAGGGCCAGCCCAGTAAAAAAAGTAATGAATTATGCGCTACAGTTCAGTACGTTCCTAACAGTGATGATGTGAAATGGAAGAGCGTTGATTGCAAAATTTTCCACTTCATTCCATGCGAAAACAAAGCGGAAATTCCGAAAGTACCGACCTCGAACCCTTGTTCAGGTAACTCTTTGTTCTCATTTAGGCTAGACACTAATTTAATTGTACCTTTTACTATGCATGCATTTTTGCAGGAGGCATTAATGGCAATGTCAACGCCCAAGCTGGTGGTGTTGGAGCTAACGGTAGTGTTGGAATCGATTGTAACTTAGGTACCGACAGTTATAATAATATAAAGTATCTACTTTTTTATGTTTTTTATATCGTAGCAATTCAAGGAGGAATCAGTGGTAATGCTGGAGGACAAGCAGGTATTGGTGGAGCTGGAAAAGGAGGAATAGGTGCTGGAATAGGTGCTGGAGGACAAGCAGGTATAGGTGGAGCTGGTAAAGGAGGAATAAATGGAAGTGCTGCAGGAACAGGAAGTGCTGGAGGAAAAGAAAGTACCGGTGGAGCTGGTAAAGCAGGAATAAGTGGAGGTACCGGAGGAAAAGGAAGTATCGGTGGAACTGGCAAAGGAGGAATAAGTTTAGGTGCTGGAGGACAAGCAGGTATAGGTGGAGCTGGTAAAGGAGGAATAAGTGGAAGTGATGGAGGAAAAGGAGGTGTTGATGGAGCTGGTAAAGGAGGAATAAGTGGAAGTGCTGCAGGAACAGGAAGTGCTGGAGGAAAAGAAAGCACCGGTGGAGCTGGTAAAGGAGGAATAAGCGGAGGTGCCGGAGGAAAAGGAAGTATCGGTGGAGCTGGCAAAGGAGGAATAAGTTTAGGTGCTGGAGGACAAGCAGGTATAGGTGGAGCTGGTAAAGGAGGAATAAATGGAAATGATGGAGGAAAAGGAGGTGTTGATGGAGCTGGTAAAGGAGGAATAAGTGGAAGTGCTGCAGGAACAGGAAGCGCTGGAGGAAAAGAAAGTACCGGTGGAGCTGGTAAAGGAGGAATAAGTGGAGGTGCCGGAGGAAAAGGAAGTATCGGTGGAACTGGCAAAGGAGGAATAAGTTTAGGTGCTGGAGGACAAGCAGGTATAGGTGGAGCTGGTAAAGGAGGAAAAAATGGAAGTGATGGAGGAAAAGGAAGTATTGATGGAGCTGGTAAAGGAGGAATAAGTGGAAGTGCTGCAGGAACAGGAAGTGCTGGAGGAAAAGAAAGTACCGGTGGAGCTGGTAAAGGAGGAATAAGTGGAGGTGCCGGAGGAAAAGGAAGTATCGGTGGAACCGGCAAAGGAGGAATAAGTTTAGGTGCTGGAGGACAAGCAGGTATAGGTGGAGCTGGTAAAGGAGGAATAGGTGGAGGTGCTGGAGGAAAAGGAAGTATCGGTGGAACTGGCAAAGGAGGAACAATCGGAACATTTAAAGCTTCGACAGAAACACAAAAAAAGAAGACTTGTTCGGGTATTAAAATATAATTTTTGAAATAAATGTCCACTCAAATGAATCAATTTAATCTCTTATTTGCAGGCAAAAATAAAACGAAAGGCAAAGGTACCGCAGGAATCAATGTAGGTGGCAATTTAGGATATCGAGCAAGTAAGTTTGATATTGAAATAATGATTATACAGGAAAGAAAATAAAATGATTTTGTTTTTATTAATATTGCAGGATATAATGCTCCTTCATAGGAGTTAACCCAAGGGATGGAAACCTTTAAATAATATCCTAATTTTAATTAATTTTTATTGTGGTTTATTAATGGTATAAAATAAAATAATATAATAATTGCATGTTTAATCGTCGTATTTTATTCCATTTTAACCTTCCGTTTTAATGATTAATTTATCGCTTTCGCGGGAATCCTTATTATGCATATTTTATTTGTAGATCGGTACATAAGTAAACAGTAAATTTTTATTATTTTCTCCATTAAAAAGTAATATTTGTAGAAAGATGAACATACAATTTGATAATATTTATTCTTGGTAAAGTTTGTATTTTTGTTGTGACGTGATACATCTTGACCTTTAATTTAGTAAATATCGAACATGATTCTGCAATATTAACATTTGCATATATACGCGAATAATTGAGAATCCGAATTAGTTCACATAACTATTATCATGTTTTCGAAAATTCTGTTCTGCTTTATTTTGTATGCGACTTGCGAAGGTATGTTTGTTCATAAAATTATTGCGAATTCCCTAAAAAATCATCGAAATAATATTCATTTTAGGTCGATCATATAAAGAATACGAATCGAAAGACGGCAACAGCGAAAGCAATTATTTTTTCAGCGATGAAGAAGTAAGTAATAAAAATATAATAACTGGCAGTTAATTAAATTAACGATTAATTATTGTATATAGGCCACCTTTTACGACGCATCGCATTTGTGTCAACAACAAGGCATGCAACTGATCAGCATCGAAACACACATCAAAAATATCGAAGTATCAAACCTATTAAACGGTACGATAGCAAAGCATCAAAATGATCAAAGCAAACAAAGGTAAATTAATAGAACAGGAGTTATTAATACAGGAAATAATTACAGGATCGACTGAATCCTATTGGACATCTGCTAACAACGTGTTCAATGGTGAATGGTATTGGTTGAAAGGGGAAGTAATGGAATACAAAAATGGTTTGAATTCCAAAAACGCATACAGAGACAATGGTGTAACAATTTCGAAGAAAGATCGCAAAGTATCATGGAATATGGAACGATGCTACAACAAACATCGATACATTTGCGAAAAATTACCTGACTCAGTAAGCAATCCAGAATGTAATGATTACAGTAATCTCTTAGTACATGGAAACACCATAAATAATAAGAAATATTACATTGGCAAAGAATTGGTAAGTATTAATTAGCAAATTAAAGCGTCTAGTTAACATATTAAATGGTTTATAGATCACATATTCAAAAGCGCTACAAGTGTGCAAATCAATGTGCATGGAACTCGTTAGTATAGAAAACGAAGAAAAAAACAAAGATATATTCGAAGCACTATCCTCAGAAAGTAATGATCGATACCTTAATTTACCTACATTTTATTGTTCATGTATTTTGCAGGTGCCACTGAAATATTTTGGTCATCGGGCCACTACAAACCTGGAAATAGCTGGCGATGGGCAAACGGCGTGGAATCGCAATTTTTCAGTTGGAATAAATTAGAACCGAATAACGCCAGAAATAATGAATACTGCATCGAAATATTGCAAACGGACGGTAAAGTTGGATGGAACGACGAGCCGTGCGAGGAAAAACGCATGTATCTCTGCGAAAGTAAAAACTACAAAGGATAAATTTAGAACAAACTAATTGTACATTTTAATAAATTCTAATAATGCAAAAGCCATTTATTCGCTACCCTCCAAACATCCGTCCACCTAATTAGGCAGTTTTAAAACAATTTAGACGCCAAAACAAACTGACGTTGAACTCGTTTCGATCTTATCATTATCACCAAAGACGTGAACTTTGTACGCCTGTTTTAAGTCGGTCTTCGTTGCTGTATTATTATTAGAATCATAACTGATTAGGTGTAGTTAAACATGATAAAGCAGCATCGTTACAGGATAAAACAATTCAAACTTTACTTCGGATGTGCCGTGTGTTTGACTTTATTAGTGTTGGGCTATCTATTCGCTAGGCATTCCGCGAAGTATGAGAAGAAACACGAAGGTTTTGAGCCGGCGGAAGGAGTGCCGATGGCGGTTGAGCCGAAGAAAGTGGCCTTTGTGGGAGAACGGATAGTGCATTTGGATTTAAAAGGTGCCCCGCCTAAAGTTGTTTACTACAAATATTTGTTTCCGCTTTTGAAGCAACTGGGAGCAACTGGAGTTCTCGTGGAATACGAAGACATGTTTCCTTATTCCTCCGAGTTACAAAACATAACGGCTCTAAATTCGTACACCATCGATGACGTGAAAGTTATAAATGATCTAGCGAAGGAGCACCAGTTGAAAGTTATACCGTTAGTCCAGACTTTCGGGCATCTGGAATTCGTTTTGAAGTTACCAAGTTACAAGGATTACAGAGAAGTACCCGAATATCCTCAAGTTATTTGTCCGACGTACGAAAAAACCGAAAAACTCATCAAAGAAATGATCAAACAAAATATAGAAGCTCATCCAGACAGCACCTACATCCATCTAGGAGCAGACGAGGTCTATTTCCTCGGCGTCTGCGACAAATGCGTTCGCACAATGACCACGAATTCTCTCGATAAGAACAAACTCTTCATAACATACATCAACAACCTAGCAAAATTCATCAAAAAAACCTATCCTCAATTCACCGTTTTAATCTGGGACGACCAATTGCGATCCATTACTCCGGAAGTTTTAAAAACCGACGACTTCCACCAAAACGTCCAACCAGTCGTCTGGAAATACACCAAAGACGTCTTCGACGACCTAGGACCCAGCCTCTGGAACAGCTACCGCAGCGCCTTCACCAACCTCTGGATAGCCAGCGCCTTCAAAGGAGCCAGCGGCAGCAACGAAATCGTCTCCTACGTCACCCACTATCTCCAAAATCACAGAAGCTGGATGAGCGTGGTAGCCGAATACGGCACGCAGTTCAACTTCCAAGGAATTATTATAACAGGTCAGTTAATCTTCTAGTAACAAACGCCTTAAATAACAAACGCTTGCATCTACCCCAGCTTCGACTATATCTTCTTCAGCTTCGATCATATCTCATTCAGCTTCGATCATATCTTCTCCAGCTTCGATCATATCTTCTTCAGCTTCGACTATATCTTATTCAGCTTCGATCATATCTTCTTCAGCTTCGATCAAATTATGATTACAGGTTGGCAGCGTTACGATCACTTCGCCGTGCTGTGCGAATTGCTACCGGCCGGGATGCCGGCCTTGGCGATGTGCCTGCGATTGCTGCGAGGCTTCGACGAGTCGCCGTTGAGTCCGCCCACGGAGGTGGCGAGGAGCTTGAAGTGCCAGCAGCCGTACGCTCTGATTGGGCCGGTTTTCGGTACGCCGAAATGCACCTTTCCAGGCGGCGATGTTCTCGAGAACCTCATTAGGTTCCAGCAATTGAGGCAGGAGTTCGAGGCGATCGGCGATAAGTCGAGATTCAAAGGTTGGCTGAGCGAGTATAACGTGAAACAATGTTTTTCTAATCCCATTTACGTGGAATCGATAATGAATTCGATTGGTAGGATTAGAGATGATGTTTTCGAGTTGAAGCTGGATCTGAGCGAATCTTTAGGCACGATTTACGATGAGTTTACTGTTAGGGAATGGATGGATACTTACTTTGTACCGTTCGAGGATCAATTGGAAATTTTATGGAAAGCTAAGAGTAAATTACTAACTACAAGAGTATGGAATAGAAGACCTCTTAATGGAAGTAATTGTGACTTAAATTGATCAATAAAATGTTTGAAATTATTTGTATTGTTTTTATTAATGTGTTGCACTTGCTATTTGATAATATAAATATCTACTAGTAGCAATAAGAAACTAAAAACTGGCTTGTTTCAGAAATTTTTTTGCATATTCTACTTTTTTTAATATTTCAATGGTCTTTACTACAAAAAGCTTTCTACCAAATGTGGCAAGTTTCAATGAATCAATGAAAACCCCCCTTTATTTCCATCACTATAACTAAATTATTACAGTAGTATATTATATTCTGACGTTACGCAGCCAAAAATTTCCTCCAAATTTTTGTTAACGTTTTAAAAATGTATAATAATAATTATAATATGTACAACAGTACTAACGGCTACAGCAGTGGTTCCAGCCCTTATCAACAAATCACCGGGGCAAATTTGAACGATTACGCGAATTACTGGCAAACGCTCCAGAACGATAAACAAGGCAGGGAAATGGCAGATGTGCTGCACCAAGAAGCTAGAATCAAAGAACTCATCATACAGTACGATATTAAAAGGAACAGGGAGCTGAAACTCAAAGAATTAGATCGCCCGAGCATGAGAGACGAGAAATCCCGAGCTAAACCCAATTAAGTTATACTGTACATAATGTTTTTGTCCATTCCAATAGAAATATCACAAGCGTCATACGTATTTTTTGTATAAACACTAAATAAATTGTCCGATTTATTTTATGTCATTGCATCACTCAATGTCCACAAAATTTCTGTGAATTCATATTCATATTTTCATGCCGTGTACGAACCCACATTGTAACTGTCCCAGTAAATGTCCTGATAATAAAGAGCTGAGGCTGCTGCTGAAGAAAGAGCTGCGCATCCAGTGCCTCATCCTCGAAGATGAACGGAGGAGGAATCGAGAGGAAAAAGAGTACCAACAGAAGAAATTGTCTAGCGCTAATAAATCGTCGGTAAGTAAAGGGAGTTTTTGATGATGGTAGAGTTAATGGTTAATGGTGAGTTGAATTGTTCTTGCAGAAATCGAGAAGAAACGCGTAGTTAGGAAGATGATGAAAAATATGCCTCGATTGAAAAAGTGTAATTTAAATGAATTGGAATGGTGCCTACCTGTAGGTTGGAGAATTAGGAATAAAAGTTAGAGGGATGTATAAAATCGATTATCATCACATTCTGTCATAATAAAATTCATTACAAACTCGAACTGTTTTTAATTTCTCAACTACTCTCAACTACTAATAGAAATTATGAAATAATTAATTATAAAGGGAATTTACTAAATGTAGTAAATTGATACTAGAACTATCAGTATTTCGAAATAAATGGAGTCTATCAGGGACTCGAAATGTTCGTACAATATCACCTTTAAAAATATAATTAAAATGTACAAACCGTAAACATTGTTTAATATTGTTTAAATTGTTTGCTCCGAATAACAGCTTTTGTTATGTACATGCGATTCATTGCAGATCGAAATTTTACGATAAAAACATTTATTTTGCATGTTCCTGTAACGAACGCACCAAAAACAAAGAACTGGAAAAAATGAGCATTTTAATTTCCCGTTAATTTACATAGAGGTGAAAAAAAAATGGGAGCCGCTAACAAAGTCCGCTCTATTTTCAACACGTAATTATAGATTTAATCTCAACTAAATATATTATTATTATTCGGAAACCGAGCATTAGTTACTCCGAAAGATTTTCCTATGTACACAGATGCGATAAGAAAAATTAATATTTATAATTATGGTCACTGTAATTGCAGGGTTGTATTTTCTTGGTACCCAATTTATATAAAAAACTTCCTTTTTCATGTTTTTAATTAACCTACAGATAATTTTAAACCTGTTATTTATCTTGTATAATTTGTTAAAACTATTTAGTCGCATTCAATAAATTTGTGTAATATAATTTGAGGAAATAAAAAACCCAACTACCTTCCTGTTAATATCCTTTTCGTGTTTTCTTGTTATTTATCTGTTCCACAATAAATTCTTCAAACTTGAAATTATCTGGCTACATATCAAATTTCGTCGAGGAATTATGAAACTAGAATACAGCCAGTTCGTTGCTCAAAACTATAATAATCGTATTTTTTTTGTTAAGAGTATAAAAATCTCGAGATTAAATGATTTTCATCTACAGTGAAAGCTTATTATAGTTGAAAGATTAATGGAAGATTTGGATTATATTTTATAAACTTGGGTGGTGGTAAATTAAGCAATTATAATTTAAGATATTTCTAATAAGTTACCCGCTAAATTCTTCCCGAGCCCCCCGATAAATTGGGCCTCGAACGGAGGATTTAGGCGTTTCAAGGTCGACTACATTGAATACCGCAGGATTCTCGTCGAAATGCTAAATCGCTCGGTCCGCCCTTTTAATGTCGCCGTGGACTTCGAAACGACTTTCCATTAACCCCCTAGACCGAAACAGTTTTCACTCCAACTATTGTATAAATTAGTTTCTCTTAATTCGCCGAAATAATTACCAGTTTTTATATCAAAAATAAGCTATCCAAAAACCCGCAATCCGGTTTCTATGGCAAATTTAATCAATATCGTCGCATTCCTGGAGCCTTTTGACTGCATTTGTCACTTTGTCCTGTACCCCGTAACGTTTACAAACAGCAGTTTACAAAAGCAATGGATTTGAATTGTCCCGGCTTGCACAATCCCACCGATCCGAGCATAAAAACCTCGGATTTCTACAAAACCTGCGGCCTGCCGAAGAGAATGGAATATCCATCGTGGTTTTATGGTTACGGTATTCAAAAACACCCCCCGGATAATCCGCTCTACTTAACTTCCTCCAGCGTGTATGGAAGGTAAGTCGATCTAATAGAATTTTGAATTTCATTTATAGTGACCGAACTTTGATGGTGTATACGAGGATTGTTTGAGGTGAAGGTACAAGTACAGTATACTGTGAAGGGTTAAATTATGTGTAGGTATTTCAATGCTTAATGAAGAGGCTTGGAATTGAAATATGGAGAGTAATTTTGTAGTAGATGTGGTCCATAATTAATGGATGATTATTCTTGTGGTGTAACTACAAATTGGTCATTGGATCTTTTGGTTGTGGCTCAGAATTTGTTCTAAACTAGCCTCTGGAAAATGTCGAATTGTGACTACAAATTGGTCATTGGATCTTTTGGTTGTGGTTCAGAATTTTTTCTAAACTATCCTCTGGAAAATTTCGTAACTATTATCCAATATTATTGATTTGTAGATATCCTCCAACCATTCATACGGTGGTTACTTCTTACTTCCCGACCTGCCAAGACTTCAGCAACTCCAGAGGATTAAGCAGCGGAAACTATAGGAATTATTCGCTCAACACCGGTCTGGATAGGTCGCCGGTGTAAATTTATCGCCGCATCCAGAAACGCGCCTTCCACGAAAATCCTATTTTTATTTATACATTTTACATTGAACAAATTAAATGGTTACACTTAGCGAAATTCGGAATTCTCATCATACAACCTTTAGCTTCGCACTTACCGCTTAGGTGTAATTGCGTCAAGTAGAACTTAATTTGCAATTATACGGAAGTGGGTTTGCGAGATATATTGCACCTGAACATAATCGAGGAATTCCAATTCCGGGTTCTACTTTAATTGTTTTACAACAATTGCTCAATTCGAATTACTAATTATAGAGGGTTTAAACCGGCCGGCATGGGAGTAGGAAACTAGGACGAGATGGTGGAATTCGGAGCAGTTTTTGCTCCAATTTCCAGCTCATGTTTGAATGAATATAATTAATTTTATTTAGCATCTAGTATTCCTATATGTAACTCATACTGGGTGGTAATTAAATATGTTTGATATTCGTGGAAATTAAGGTAATCAGATGCGCCACTGGTGATAGCACGTGAGAAGATAATTGCCTTGCACAATCAGCGATTATTGGTTTGAATTAGAAATGTAGTAGTAGTGATTTTAAACGGAAAATTCGAGCTTCATAATCACCGCAAAAACCATTAAACATTTAATAGAACGTCGTTCCATTCCGCGCTCGGTGATTATAATAAATTAATTGTTGGTTTTTTTTCTCCGAGCCCGATAGATTTATTAACGGCGTCGTGTTCGTGTGTAACATTCCTTTTTTTATTCGACTTCTTCAGGTTTGCGCTAAATTTTTTAGCCGTCTACGCGTCATTTATCTTCCCGAACTCTATCAATTAGCCAATAAAAGTTTTATAAGACGAGAAAAAACACCGTTGTAGTCATTTTCTGATAAACTACGACAAGCTTAGAGGATGATTTGTCATTCCATGCACCAACGTGGATAAATCGTCGAAATGAGTTATAGTTGAGGAGCTTGTGATGGAGCTGGTGAATCAAAAGAGCGTTCACCGAAGCTCCTCGACTAACACGATTCTCTCCAGTTTTGTTCTGTCATAGAAGATGAGCCTCATCTCCATTAGATGCTCATTGGATATCGATGATACAACGCTTTAGCGATAAATCTCCGGTTCGCGTTGTCACACGCCTGCATCGTCGAGATATTCCGCAGTTAAACGAGGCCAGATTCTATTTCTGCGACCGATTCCATCGGAAGATAATTAATTCAAACAAATTTCGCGACAGTAATTTATTGTCGATACAAACTAATAGCCCAATGCGAGCGTTTAGCTAGAGTTTCTCCAGAATAGGATGTTTTTGAATTTTTGCCAGGCGGTGAGTTTCTGGCGCGTTTTTCTCGTCTGTTTTCTCTTTAATTTCAACATCGATAGAGCCGTGCTGGATAAACACTCGTGGCTTTCCTCGTCCCAAATGTAGCCCCAATGGCAAATGCACCTATCGATAATTAATCGGTTAATGTACATCCATAATTAATGTAAATACCAGCTTACAGCCAGTGGGATTTATAGTGCGAAAAATTATAATATGTAAGAATTCGATTATCAGGAGATTACCTGAAGCTTCCCGGTAAATTAAGACAACTCTCCACCTTCGGCTTGCAGTTATGAGTTTTCGATAGGCATTCATCCAAGTCTATACAAATTCCATAGCGGGAATTCCATTCGTATCCGCGTTGTTGGGGACAACGGCATGTCACGTTCCATCTGTTCAGGATGATATCGCTGCGAAAATTGCCCCCTTTCAATATTTACCCCTTTTAAATCGATAGGTAGACCCTTCGGGTGCGCTGAATTAAATGCGGACGTTCTTTTTTGCCGGCGCGAATTCCATTCGGATTATTATTATTTACCTAAACTCGGTGTTTTCGGTCATGTCGTGTTTGCATTGCCTTTTGCCGGCCGCGTTGGATCTGTAGCAGGGATTTTCCGGACTTTCGTAGCAATCTTTCATTAGATTAACGTGTTTTAAAGGACAACAAGGATCTGGGCAGAAACTGTATGAAGCGCAACTACAATCAGCAGGAGTTAAGTTTGGATTAACAACAATTTGTAGGTAGTACTCTAACCTGAAACTTTTAAGATCTTCAACTCTATCATCGTCATTATAAGGTCCAAAATCTTCGTCTAAGCAATTGGCGAAGTTGTCGCATTTTTCGTAGAAACGCTTCAATTCCGGAGTACCTTTCGTTGTGTACCAGCACATGAAGTAACTCGCGGTTACTCTCCATTGGTACCTTTCCAACGGACCTACATGTCATAAATTATTAGAAGTCCTTGATTTATTATTTCTTTCTCATTGTGAACGTCTCATACAAACATAGCGAAAATTCGCCATAATGAGATGATTTACAATCCAAACTTATCGCGAAATATTTATCTAAAATAACGTCTGGCTTCGCAAACGTACCTACGAAGTCTTTATATATAATTCCGGTTGGAATGGTTCCAAGAATCTAAGAGGAGGGAACGAAAAATCCAGAAATATATTGTCATGACGGCAAAAACGAGTCGCTTTATGAGCGTTATCAGTGATATTGCTTCGAGCCAGCATTGTTAGAAAACGATTTTTCGATAAAAAGAAAAAGGCCAAATTGCAGATTAAGGTAATTCGCTAGATTATATATCATCCACGAGATGTCACCGCTACACTAATACACTCGAGGAAATCCAGCGACCTATACATCGATATACCTTCAAATGGATCTGCAATAACATCATCGATGCGCTTGTTCTTCTTGCATTCCTCGTCGACTTGCTTTATTTCAGCGGAGTTCTTCTTCCAATTCCACTTTTGCTTCATCATTATTTCCGATGTATCGTCCACTCTTCGAGCTGCAACACCGCGAATTTTCTTCGCTAGGTAATCGAGACATTCCATGAACGATGGTTCGCAATGCTTGTGCACTTCCCAATGTAGCGAGCGCAAAGGCGGTCGAGGAAAGTGTTTGAAATACTGCCTGGAAGCGGTAAAATTCACGTGGATTGTAGTGGATTGAATAGTTTAAAGTACCTTTCTGCTAATGTGCTGTTAGTTTCGTATCTTCTGTCGTATTCGTTGAATTTGTGAGCTCTGAGGTAGTAACCAACGTCTCTGATATTTTCCAGTAACGAATCCATATCGATGGAAGTGGTTGTAGCAAATTCTGTAGTTGTTTCATTAATATAATCAATTGTTGTATCGATAGTACCAGTAATAGTGCTTGGAATATCGCAGAAACAAAGAATTGTTAATGCAATTTCGTAAGTCATTTTTGTCGACATTTGTCAAAGCAATTAGTCAAAGTAATTAGAGGGTTTGATGTGTTGCAACATATTGTCTAACACGAACGACAGAGATTATTAAACAGAATTTCCAGAAGGCATAACTGGTGTTATTTATAAAGGGAGTTATTTATTATGCAACTCGTCTGTTGGAATTAAATTGAATAATTTAAAATAGAAAGCGGACTATTTAAATTCCAGTTTATAAAATTTTAACCGAGTCGTTTTAGATATCGCCTTTGTGCATCTGCGGGAGTTCCATCGTAAAGAGACTCGCTTAAAAGATCTCGCACAGAGATAAATACATTATTATCAATAAACAAAATGACATTTCAATTCAACTTCGGCTGGTACAGGCGAAATTAAAAAACGTACACCAAATAATCATAAATAAGATCCGCCATACGAACGGTTTTAATATCTTCTTCAAACGTGATTTTCCTTTCGATTTTCCCGATAAATTTCCTCCAACGGAATATTACCGAAAGGCATAAAGAACGCCCCGTAATAATTCGTAACGTCGTAGAAGCTGTAAACAATATTCTCCAAAAAGTTTGAAGCTCTCTTCGGGGACCCACAGACGAAATTGGTTCCAACTTTTTTTATGAATAACCAGAAAAGTCAAGACTCGTAAATACAAATACAATTTCCTTGCGATATTTCCGAACCGGCCGATTCAATGCAACTACTAATTTTATGTTTATTGAATTATGTTTCATGAAAGCTACAGAGAGGAATTTAAATATCTAGAAGAACTCCGGAATATACAGAAACGATCTTTCCTGTAGTTGGTGATAGGAGAGTCTTCTAAAAGTATTCAATAAACAATAGTAATAGAAAGTTGAAAAGATGAGTTCTCATAATCCTTTAGAGCAGCAAATATTGACAATAAATATACTAGAAGATCCATTTAGTGAGCTCATATTGAACATGTAAAGAATCTTCAAGCGATATCCTTGGAAACACTTGAAAGAACACACGCTAAAGATATTTTCAAAAAGATTTTATTTTTCCACAAACTCGCTCAACTACCGATTCTGGCGCATGCATCCCGACGGTGCGTTTCCCTCCTGGGGCTTATTGGCGTTTCGGGAGTTAAAAAGAAAGGAGCAACGTACAAAAAAATATTCCAAAGCTTTTGAATGTAATCTAGTTAAGGAACGTCTGTCGTTAACTTGGGTGGATATTCAGTCGTTGATATGTGGCTCACGTATAGTCTCTCTACCACGTAGTCCCGCATAATAAATACGGCCGATTGCTCAATTTCTTTTGCTCGGTTTCATAAAGGATGACCGCCGTTCGAAGAAATTCATCGATCAAGCAAATCTCGCAGGTGGAAATTGTATTTTCTCACTTTTACCGACATTTATCGATAATTCAGTAACACACGAATGTTGGTATATACTTGAAAACATTCGTTATCACTGTTTAAATCCTATATACAATGTTGTAATACTGGTTGCCTAGTTGAAGGAGAAAAGTGAGCGAAAATCTGCTGGACCACATTAAGCAAATCTCGCAGGTGGAAATTGTATTTTCTCACTTTTACCGACATTTATCGATAATTCAGTAACACACGAATGTTGGTATATACTTGAAAACATTCGTTATCACTGTTTAAATCCTATATTCAATGTTGTAATACTGGTTGCCTAGTTGAAGAAGAAAAGTGAGCAAAAATCTGCTGGACCACATTAAGCAAATCTCGCAGGTGGAAATTGTATTTTCTCACTTTTACTGGCATTTATCGATCATTAGGTACACACGAATGTTGGTATATACTCGAAACAATCTCTTATCACTGTTTAAATCGTATGTTTAATGTTGTAATAGTGGTTGCCTAGTTGAAGGAGAGAAGTGAGCTGGACCGATATTGCAATTTCTTAATGAAATTGGAGGCGATTTGTTTCATTTTGTAGCGAAGTGAAGCCCGTCAACACAAAGAAAAACTGCCCCCGCTGCGGTAGCTGTTGCGGCAAGCTGCAAAAGATACCACCGGCCATCAATCAACTTCACTTTAGCGCGTTTACACCGAGATTTCGGTCCTTTCTGTTGGGCTTTATTTAGTCGGCGCGAATTTAATTTGATGAGAAATTTTTCTAATCGCTTCGACTGATCCGCAATGTATTGTGAAAATGACACTCGAGCACGGATTCGAGGGCGATTCAATCACGCCGAGAAGTGGTCCATAAGTTGGGGAATGCAGGAATGTATTAAGTGAAATGGCTCGACGAAAATTTACACGGTCATCGCTTTTTAATCACGTCCGAATTTTCCTAACAAAAGCGCCGAGAGGTATGATGGAAAATTGGAAAAGTTCCGCGAGCAATTGCAGCCGGAATTCAACGATAATTCGAGACTAATTTGTAAAAAAAGCTCTTACTTTCGTCACGATCGCGGATGAACAAAAGGAAAACAGCTGGGTAATTTCGCGGTGTTAGCGAATTCCCGCGAGTTTCTGTCTCGATCGTGGCGCGGAATTCAAAATGTCGAGGGCGGATTGAAGGAAAAAGGGAACGAGAGACGTTTTTGCTCGTTGCTTTTGATTTGATTTGATGAGTTCCGCTCGTCGACCGTCGGGTACAAATGGCCTCGTTCGTTGCGATTCGTCCCCGAATTAAATAAGTTTAAATTAGTTCGGAGGTTAGAATGTAGACCGGTGGAATAGATGACAAACAAGCCTGATTGACTATTCCTTAAAGTGATCAATTTTTTTCCACTCCACTAAAATTCATTAATCAATTAATATTGGTATATACTGAAATTTTTCCATTAGTAGCTTTTTCCATCTATACTCATTGTTTGGAGATTAGATAACATCGTTGGATTTTTATTTTGTTTATTCCATCCAGGGAGAATAATGAATGCTGTTTATCATTTGATATTTTCCCCATCATGGCACGCATCACTGGTCACCGTATTAATCCGTTTGATATTATTCATTCAAAATCCGGCCATTTTTCATTAGAGCAAAGATATATATCATTTTTCCCTCGTATATAGCTTTACACCAGTCACTCATTAGTCAGGGATATTTCAATCGAGTTCGATGGTTTTTTTATTCGCTTTTTTTATTCTACTCAAGAGAAAGATGTTTATTAAAAATTTGCGTTTTATTAAAAACTAGCTACTATTAATTTTAACGAAATTGAAACACCATAAATCCGAATAATTGCGGAGAAAAACCGACCGATTCGAATATCATTAATTCGAGAAAATTAATATCCCGCGAAATTTATCTAGCGCCGTAAATTTCCTCCATAATTTTTCCATTGATCACCGAATTTTCATCGGCGCGAACTACACCGTTTGATTTAACGGTAATATTTAACGATCAATCCGCACTCGTCGAACGTAATGAAATTTTTCCACGTTTGTAAATCATCGGAAATTGAAACGAACCTAGCCCCAAGACTCGAACGTCGATTGCAATATTTATTACACTACAATGCATACGAAAGTATTTGAAGTATTATTTATATACTATAAATATGTTCTCATTGTTGGTACGTTTTTAAGGTTTTGTTAGAAGTTCTGTTGACAATTTCAGTCATCTCTATACTGAAACATTTTATTGCAATCGCGCGGAGTTTTGTCCGAGCTTTTATATATAAAACCGGTCATTGTAGGAGCTTTTATAAAATAAAACCAGTGTATTGTGTATTGTGTATGTGTATAGAGAAAAATTGCAGTTTTGTCTATGTTGTTGATAGGTTATTTCTACTAAAATATAGGAATTAATGTTGTTAGAACTGAGAGATTTGTGTATATAAATTTTGGTGGATGCGCCTAATGCATTTAGTAAGCTTTTCATCCAGTTATTATCGAATCCTGTGGCTTCGAAAAAAAAAATTCCCGAGCAAATCCTGTGCATCCTGAGCTGACAGAGCTCTTCCAGCGTCGACTGGCATCGGCACTTCTTCCGAAATATATCCGGATATATTCGACACAGGCCAAACACATCCATCAAGGAGATTATTTACCGATTGTCGTTATCCCGCCCGTCCTGATCCCGTATGTATATTTGACAGGCACACCTTCGGGCGTGGGGGCGGCGCGCATGTCGCCGCCGCCGTCGCCGACGCCGCCGGATCGCAGTCAAACGGACGTCGCGACGCCGGCCGTATCGCTGTGGAATGACGCCGGAGCCGGTTCTGCGACGATAACTTCGCGGGAAGTTCGGCGAGTTTTTCCGGTGGTTTTGCTGGTGGAGATGTGAGACTAATTTGTTGTTGATTCTCCGTAAGAAAATAATCGGTGCTGATGCGGGGTGTTTTCGATATGATCCTGCTACTTGTCTACGCTGTTTTACTGATAGTTAATTACTCAGGTAATGAATTAGATAGTGTAGCGATACTCGAGTGAATTTATTCGACTGTATTTTATTTCGTTACGATTTTATGCCTAGGGGTTTACAATTCGACCGAGTTTATTGAATGGAAATATTGCCTAGTCGAATATTTTTCGGTTTTTCATTTTTTCGTGTTTCGTTGAAATCGCAAATCGATTTTAAATGCCATTTGTAGTCGCCGATTATTTTTAAAATGTTGGATGCATTTCATACAGCGAGCTTTAATAATGGAAATAAAATAAGGGCAAAAAAAATTCATTTTCCGCCATTAAACGCGCGGAAAAATCCTATTAAATCGCGGCGACTTTTCACCGCAAATCTCGACTCGTCCTTAATTACACACTTAATTTTTTTCTGTGCCATTTCCTGCCAACGATTCATCCGGGCCCAGTCATATTTCAGGCCGGAAGGTCGCTTATCAGATCTACTGGCTGCCCTTAATGCAGTTATAAAAGAAAAGGGAACGGAAATATTGAAGGGATTGCAGAAACGCCAGGACGTCGATAAAATTTTCTAATAATAAAACGACAATTTTATATGCTAGGAAATTTATAGCATACAATTAAAAATGCGCTAAGCATTATGTAAGGGTGCTATTAAATAAATCAAATAAAATTTCCTCTAATAAAACTTTCATCAATTAGATTTATAGTAAATTAAACCGGAACGAATTATCACGAAATGAAATCTTAATATTCACCTACCGCACATTCCATGCTCATTTAACCCCTGCGAAACTATTCGTCTTAACGCGGCTGTAATTATTCTTCAGCACCTTTATCTCATTAGCTATTTAGGCGGTTTATCCTCGGTTTATCAATCTCTCTCTACACACATACATACAGCAGGTTTGGGGCTTATCGTTCCTTTGCACGCGCGTTTTCACTATTAATTACTATACAGCTCTGATATAAAGAACCTCTAGATAATCTAGTGGACCTCGAGGTACTGGAATTGGGGATGTTTCTCACACAATATAACACCATAGCTTCATAATAATTTGGTAAAGTTTATACTGTTATGCAGACATAAAGTAAGTAATTGACATGTAATTACCCGGTGAGCAAGTATTTATGAAAATGTCAATTATGTTGCACAAACGCGTCAATCGAGTCGATTGAACAACGACTGTTTGTTCGCTTTACACACAAAGCTCGAATCTATTTTCGGTTGTAAATTGGAGCTTTAGAGTGTACAGCAAACGTTGCGAATTTTTTCATTTGGTTATTAGTTAGAGTAAGGAATTTGTGGGAGATGCAACTTTGGGATTCCCCTAAAGTTTATATATTAAAACAACACCTGTTCGTCAATATCTCTTTTCCCTTTCGCATTCTCACTTATAATTTTTTCGTAATCTGCAATGAAAGAAGAAATGTAAGGCACAAAGAGGCTCGCGGAGGGAAAAAAGTTTATTCCGCGGAGGCGCCGCTTTTGGGTTTACCTAACGAGCCGCGGTTTTATGGGGCGCAATAAAGACTGGGAGCTTCTGTTTTTTTTATTTATTTTACTTTCCGACAACTCCTTCAATTAGCAGCAGAAATGAACGAAGGTATTTTTCTATTTGCGCAACGCAATTAAGTGTATAATGGAAGCTAAACGGCGTCGTTCATTAGAATGTAATAAAAAAATTTCGTATTGAACGTCGGCGTGTCTGAATGGGATGCTTAGATGTTAAATTCGTTAGAAATTACGAGTCGAAAATGAGGGGGAGCTTTTTTTTTCCGGTGAAACAAGATTTGGCTTTTAAATGTCTAATTTTATGATAAAAATTAATCGTTTTACGGTCTTTGAACGGGCGCAAATTAATTGGCCTAAGAAGTATTAAAATTTTTACAAGGACATTTAATTTTATAACGACTCATAGTTATATTCATCTTACTCGAGAGTTTCAATTTCAATTTTCTTCGAAATTGTTTTGCACATAATGAGATATTCAGCCGTAAATCCATCGAACGCTCATTTGGTATTCGCAAAATGTAATCTCGATGCAAATGACATAAATGACATTTAGGTATCTCGCCCTAAACGACAATCATCCATCGATAATTGCCATTAGTATTATTGTTACTCTCCTGGTCGAACGAAATTGCATCAATTAATTAACCGCGTTTCATATGCACCTAATTGAGAGTATATTTGCTTATAAATTTACTATTATAGTTACATAGTTTAATCGTTAAAAATTTGATAGAAGAGCGCCTTTTGAACCAGAATTTTTGCGGTCGAAATTGGTAGTTTCTCTCCCGGATATATTCATTCCGGAGCGCCGGAGGACCGAATTTACGGCGGAATTTTTCTATTTTGTCACATGCACCTTTCGAAAATACGATCGTCATACGATCGAAACTATAACTGTCCCAGGAATACCGACGATTTATTTTTATATGCAGCGACAAGTGCAATAAAGTGCAAAGCGAGATGTCCGACCGCATATTTCGCCGAGCGCGGTAATTCCACCGAATTTTTTGCTACTAGAAACTTCACATAAAATACGCCCAGGAATCACTTTTGCGCGAATACAGAATTTCAATCCTGTGGGTCTTTCGGGTTCGACTTTATGAATACAAAATGCACGAATAACATCACCGAGCGGATCTCCGGCGATGTGATTAATAACACAACAATAAAACTATTACAGAACTGATTATAGAACTGTTCAGAATCATTTAGAAATGGTCCAGGACAATTAAAGAAGGTTAAAATAGGACCACTTAGAACTCTTGTAGGATTATTTATGTTTTATTATAGAACTTTTATTAGAATAATAGTATTTTTCAATCGACCAATTTAGTAAACACGCTATAAAATCGTTAAATTTACTCGTAAAATCTTACATAATATCAATACATATTATTTTTTCTTTTATCCACATCGATAATCAACTGATCGATGAAACTAATTCTGGATAATTTGATAGACAGTATAACGACTCAATTCCATTAAATTTTACGTACCTCCACCATAAATTTTACTAGTTATAGTAAGTTAAATATACTCTGTTAGAACTTTTAGAAATATCTATTCAAAATAACTGTATTGGGGTTTATATAGTAAAATACTTGAGCGTTGAGCGTTTTATCCGGTTAGGTAGAATTTAGCGCTATTTTTCCGGTATTTTAGTGCCCGAATGTACACAAATTTCCATTTATCTAGCAATTAAAAAACCACTCGAGCTGCCCGCTCTGCGTAGGTAACAACGGGCTTTTTTCGGGAAAGCTCCGGCTCAAACGGTGATAAAAAGTAAAGTTGAAAATTAACCCAAATTTTTATGATCGAATTCGAACGTCGAGAATCCTTTGACTCGCCGACGAGTCCATTCGGGGATCTTTTATAATGAGTTTTCATTGTTTTCCGCTGACCCAGATCGCGATCATCGGAAAAACTCCATCAGATTATCAATTTACAAAAAGAAAGTAAAAACCGCTCCTTTTGTGAGATTTAACTTTAACCTGGGAGCGTTTCTTTTTCGAAAGAGATAAGTTCCTTTGCCTTCGCACGAGTACAATAAATTTTTCTGGCAACGATGCTCCATAAAAAGGGAGCTCGAAGAATTTTCCGTAGACGCGATATCGGGCGGATATATCTAATGCGCTGTTTCTCTGGATGTTGTTGCAATTCCTCGGCGAGTTTCTTTTATGGAATTGTACAAACTTTTTTCTTATTCTTCGTTATGTTCCCAGTTGAAATTTATTTCCACCTAAATTATACAAGTTTAATTTGAAAGCATGTTTGAGGAATCTACTGAGATGTAGGTTGAAACTTTTTTTTTTATTAGATTCATTACTTGTTATCAGTTCTTATTAGGTATTCATAAAGATTTATTAACGGCTTCTTTTTTAGTAGCACCTTCGTCTTGTCTTATCCCCGTTTATAATTCAATATTCCGGGACTCGTTCCATTTATCATCGTTCGAGACCCTTTCCCTTTCAAGTCGATTCTCTATGGCACTTTAGGCATGTAATTACACACCATCTCGATGGAAAAAAAAATCTTATTTCATTAACGCCGAATATTTCGTAGTATCGAGCGGATTTAAAAGAAGAACATTGTTACCGAAATTGCATTCTATTCGACGCGTTAAATTTCAATCGATTGAATAATTTCCAGTGCGATCGACGGGCGAACTCAAAGAGTTTTGTTATCGGTCGGTAAGTGAATTAAGTGCTCTAGCCGGAAAATTCATGCCATGCTCTGTACTAGAATAATTGCATTGTGGTAACATTTTGGCCCATGTACGAGTAAAATTCGTCATGCATACTTAATAATATAATAAGAAAAATGGTTAAAAGCATTAAAATAAAAATAGATAAGGCTATAAATACGATCGATTTTATCCTGCCGCTTTCGTATTTTCTATTTTATAACATTCAATTCAACGCAAAGGGAATTGATACCAGGTTGGATTTCGCAATTTTATATATAGAAAATATTCGAAAAGAAAAGCAATATTTCCACAACTACAATAAGTTAATAAATCATAAACCATATCCCGCATAATTCGAAAATTCGAAGGATATTGTTGTGTAGGGCAGATGGCGCTTAAAAATTCAGGAGCTCTTAAACCGGGAGCACTTGTAATTAAACGAACCGTAGGGAGAGGTTATTAATCAGCGAAGGAAACGCCGCGAATGCGAATGTGGAACTCCACTCGACTTATAGGTTAAGTGTTGTCTACAACGGAACGGAAATTTCGCATGAATTATGCAATCGGCTCCTTGCAGTGGTTTTGAATGTCCTTTCGACTGTGAACTGTTGTTTTATCCGTTTGCTGTTTAGGTTCGACGAGTGGCTGATGTAATTTTTTATCTCGTTTAAAATGTAAAACTATCGGCGATTTTGATTAATTGATAAACTTTCGGGCTGCGTGAGATATAAAGTAAAAGTTGTTTAATAACAATATCGTTGTGAGGATAATGGTCGGCAACTTTTCTATGGGTTTTTTTTTAATTAAAAATTTTCATCCGGTGTGTCGTTCATAT